GTTACTCCTACTTGGAGATTCAGGCATTCAAACAGTCACATCTTCCGGCTATCCTATGAAATAGCCTAAACATCTCTCCCAACAGTGACCTACTCCTACTTGGAGGTTAAAGCATACAAGCAGTCACATCTTTTGGCTGTCCCATGAAATAGCCTAGAATCTGATGCCAGTATCATCTTTTTACCTATCTTCTACATCATTTATAAACATCCCAATAAGTCTACTCAAAATTATTGTCAATGCCACCTGCAAATTCACATACATCCTGGATGAATTCTATTTGTCCTAGTAAATCTATGTGAACTCGCAGAACAAGTAAAGACAAAAGAATTTGAAGCTGATTACAACAAGTAAAATTGTTAGTAAATTATCAAGGTCTGCATTGCAGGGTTGAATACTAATGGTTACAGATTTTGATCAAAGTTTTGAATAAAAAATTATTATTTGGGCTGTATTTTGTACATTAAGTTTAGTTTATTAAGTTTAGTGGATATATTTTATTTACATTTTGCTTTATTTGTTTCATTGCAGTGTATCTGGTGGAGAATTGTTTGAACGTGTAGTTGCTGAAGATTTCCAGCTTACAGAAAAAGAAGCTGTATTCTTCTTGAGACAAATCACAGAAGGAGTAGAGTTCATGCATGAAAAACATATTCTTCATCTGGACATGAAGGTGAGATTTCTTTGTTTGAGTTTTTGTTGTGAACATTATTATTTAAATTATCTGTGAAAAAAAATTGTTGAACAAAGCATTAATGATAGACTCAAATAATGTCTTTTGGGATTTGATCAGTTACAGCTGCATTTATTTATTCTGGTAACCGATAATATTTAGTGAACATGACTTGATATGAAGCAGGTTATCTAAAAATCCTATCTATATGGAAATAATTTGCATAAATTAACCATAATTCTGTGCAGTTATATATTCTGTGAGCCAATCACATCTAGTCATTTGGCTGTTTCTGATATTGCAATAATTATTTAATGTATTAATTGCATTCTTTTCTTTTCTATCTCCCAAACAGCCAGAAAATATTCTCTGTGTCAGACCAAAGAGTAATAAAATCAAGATCATTGATTTTGGTTTGGCCAGAAAATACAATCCTAAAGAATCCCTTAAAGTCATGTTTGGTACACCTGAATTTGTAGCACCTGAAGTCATCAATTATGATCAGATCTCAGAAGCTACAGATATGTGGAGTGTGGGTGTAATCTGTTATGTTTTACTAAGTGGCCTGTCACCATTCATGGGGGATAACGATGCTGAAACTATATGTAATGTAACGACGGCGGAATGGGATTTTGAAGACGAGTCGTTTGATGAAATCTCTGATGCAGCTAAAGATTTCATAGAAAAGCTACTAGTTCTCGATCCAAGGGAAAGAAATCTTGCAAAAGATTGTCGAGAGCATGATTGGTTGAAGGTAAGTCACATTGTTACTTTACTTAGGGACTATGTTTCTAATGAAATGCAATATATTGCTACAATGTTTCATATATGTTCTAATTGGTTGGTGAAATTAACAAGAACTATTGATTTATTTGTTTTTACACAAATATCCTTAGTTCCTGTTGCTTCTTATAGTAGGGCCATATTCTATAATTGTTTATTATATAAAGGAATATTTTGCTTTCCCAATACTCTGCGTTTCATTTTATAAATGAAGAGACTTATGATGCTGTGAATTCTAAAAGGCAGTACTTACAGCCTTCTAATGTTGACTTTCAATCATACACAGGTCTATGTAATCTAGATAGTTCTTTTATTTCCAGGGTGCCTGCATGGTTATATCTAATATGCCATTTTTTCTTTTTTTTTATTGCATCTTACAGAAAGACGTAGCTAGCTCTCACAAAATCTCCAAAGCCAGAATCAGAAGGTTTTTGGCCAGAAGAAAATGGCAGGTCAGTATCTTTATTTATTTTTATCTACTAACACTTTATCTGATATGGATAGATCTTTTTTCTGTGGTGGTATCAAATTTATTCCTTCTTCAATTTCATCAGCTTTATTTTTATTACCCATATTGCTGATCAGATGTTCATATGTGCGTCATACATAAATCAATTAAGGCTGATATATTGTTGAATCATTTCATTGGACGAGGCTCATCGTATGATTTATCTGCATATATTTACTAAAATAACATTTACACATATGAATGAAACTGAAGAGAATACTGAGTCTCATTAAATAAATGATGACAAATCGGCCACACCTTGATTTATTATCTCCTATAAATTGGCATAACATTGATAAAATTCATAAGTAACAGACATCTGATTTTTATTACTGTGTCAGCGAGATAGTTGACTACATACATTCCAGAACCAATATTTATCCATATGTGGGAAATACTTTTTAACCTATTGATGTGGCATACCAAGAGGGTTTCTAGGACAGCTTATCTATTCACATATTTTGGACTAAACTAGGAATGAAATCCATGTCCATGTACCAGCAAAATTTATGGCTCAGATAAGATCCTGAACAGCTGATCTATGTACTGTAGAATA